GTGGAGAATGCTACATGTATCCCTAACACACGGAACTAAGCGGAAAACTCTCAAAGAATCAATGAAGAATGCCACGCTGTATTATCTTGGTACAAACCCCAAGAGTTTTCATCCCATATTTCCTGCCTCTTCTTACGAAGAGATTCACGCAGACGACGCATAGCACTCAAATAGTATTCCTGTTTGCCAATTTGGCCGATCGGAAGGAGTTCTGAAAACACCACATCACGATAATCGAAGAAAATTCTTAACATAACATTGATTTTTGCTTCGACGTGGTTTTTTCGGCTTCGGTTCATCTCTGCCACGACATTCGGCCGATTGATCGTCTGTTTTCGGGTCGTAAGCATAGATCCAACACTTATCGGCAATATTAATACGTTTCGTGACAGCCTAGCAGTCCGAAAGACGTTTGTTCATACCAACCTAGTAAAACAACATTTCGACGAATGGGTTTTCGGGCGAAATTTAAATTGAAATGTCAAACTTGTCCGACAGTTTTTGAGTTACCGATCAGAAACTTTGCACACGAGTTTTCCGCTTCTATGATGACACTTATTGCTCAGAACCATCGATATCGGATCACTATACGACAAAGCTGCAATACAAACTCTCCTATCAAAATCTAGTCTCTGTATGGAAAACTTTCGTATTTGATGAGGTATCTTCATAAAATTTGTCAGGGATTAGTTTTCCAGGCAAAGGTACAAACACCGAACAAATTGTTCACCTCTGACCGCTATAGCATATAGCTGTCATACAAACTGAATGATCGGAATCACGTACTTCTATGGAAAATTTATTAATTTAAAAAGATATCTTAACGGAATTCCACATTTCCTTGGTCTCTATTATCTACATAAGAAATATGGAAATTATTTTCAGCATTTCAGTTGCATTACTACTTCTTGTAGTTCCCATTATTTTTCAATCGAACTCAGTTCTAGTGATTAATTATTTATAATGTGGGCATATGATATATTTTATAAAATAAACTACCTACTTCGGCATTATTTGTTTTTCCTTTCAGTAATCATTATCCACTAGGTTTTGAACTCCCTTAAAAATAAATTTCAACTTTCTTTAAACGTTTTGAGTTCATTTTAATTTTTTACTTCAAGCTTTAAGTTCCACAATTGATTTAAGAGCCTTATGGAAAGTGTTTGCGTCGACTGTCATTTCGCTGCAAATGGTCTGACACCCACAACAACAACAAGCCCATAAGACGATACGCTGGCACTTCGCAAAAACCGAAAAGCCTCCGATTCGCAAAAGGCAGCAACTATTTTGGAACATTTTTTTTTTTTTCATCAAACTTTATTTAAAATTATTCCACAAACAACTCCACAACTGCATGCTAAGTACATGTGCCTATGTATATACATATGTGTATTTACAGTGCGTTAAAAAAGTACTGCACGGCACACTACTTGGGCATAATAATGAGTGAACTCTTGTCACTCGATGGGCGCGAATTTAATTGAGAATCAGCAGCTGAGGCAAATGAAGTCGAGGCGACTTACGAACACGTAAAATAACACCAAATCCGGAGACAACGCGCTGGTGAGACATTCTTTTTTGCAACGCCTGACGTTGTAGAGGCCGCAAGAAATTAAATCAGCGCAGTGTTAGGTCGTTGGCGGGACGAAAGGTGCTTTACATTTCTTTACTTTTCAGTTTTGGATTTTGTTTTGCGAAGACATCGAAGATTAAAACTGTTGAGTTGCTGTGTGTATTTCACGCGGTGTAAATGGACGTTTTGCTTACATTCGTCGGAGTTGTTTTTCGTGCGTTATTCACGCTCATGTTTGGCGTCAACTTTAATTCACTTGATGATCGCTTTTTATTGTCACAGGGCGCGCACTCAAACAGTCACCCGCCAGCAGCAGCTGAAGGTGCTTGGCAATATCACAGTGATTGAATGAATTGTTGCAGTTGTTAGTATAGTTGTTGTTGTGTTAGTTGTTATTGTTCATATTATATTATTGTTGTTTCTACTATTGTTGTTGTTTCTACCATTGTTGTTATTAATATTGTTTTTACGATTGTTTTTATGGTTTTTATTGTTATTGTTGTTGTTGCTGTTTTTGTTTGTTGTGTTCTTCAGGCATATTATGTTATTGCTGAGCCTTGCAACTCTTCACATTTCGAGTGCGAGACAAGCGTTGGACTAAATGGTACTAAGTCCCAGCTTTTTATAACTCCAACGGGGGTTTTTTAACAACAAATGTGTATAAAGCAACAAAAAAGTATTGAACGATCGAAAATACATTGTCAGCTGTCACTTTAAGAGCTCAGAAGAAAAGAAGGTCCCACTTTATCTGAAATTTCGATTATTGAATTAGACCGATGAACTAAAACTTTAGCAACAAAACAGTTCAAATAAAGGATATATGAAAGGTGAGCGCCATAGCAGCAGATAATAGTTTGGGTAAAAGGGAGCATAAGCGACAATGGCCGCGCGATTAACCGATCTATTAACACAATTGCTGCCACCATTTTTTGGGTTCGAAAAGTAGACATGAATGCGAGTATATAAACATGATACACATATGTATACATTCATACAAATATATATATTTACAAACATCCATACACCCAACACATAAAAACGGCATGGGAATAAAACTGATATGTCCATATCGGTATAGGAGGGCGAAGAAAAAGCAACACATTCGGGAACCCTAAATAATAAACAGCAGCGCATTCCCTGAAAATGTCAACACAAAGTTTCAATGCGAGAGTCCCATTGGGCCGCGGTCACTGCTGCCACACACTCAGCCGCACACATATTTAGTTGCGTACAGACGTAAGTGTGCATACACGTGTACATACATATGTATATCGCCATCGATCATTAGGCATGCAAACATGTTTACACACAAATAAATGCATTGCTAATGTCAGGTCAAAACAAAAAACAACAACACATTGTATAAAGTGTCCTTTACACTATTCGAAAAAACAACTCATACATTTGAGATAAAAATCTTGTTTGTCCTTTTGCGAGTGTCGCAGTGACAAGAAACACACAACAACACCAAACCGAAGACAAGCGGACACAAAAACCTTATAAATTTAATAAAAGTTCAGCTCACAAAAGGGCGCTGAAATTGAAACTCACGTGACATATTTGTGTGGCGGTTGASAATATTACATAGAAATATACAAGCTAACGTACACATTTGGTAGCTATTCAATGTAGTATAGAAATGTAGTTTACACAAAAAATGCACGTACAGTGGGCACTTGATTAGAGCAAAACCTTGGCTTGTTTAGTTTAAGGTAATGTTATGGCTATTAAGGGTGATTTGCTGTTCAATAGCTGTAGCTCGCTTTTTCTACATAATTTCAAAGAAATAGTTGATAAGACTATTGACCAACATATCAACGGCTTTTTGYATATATTAAGTACTCAAAAGAATCTATTAACTATCAAAGACGATAGTGTAAACCTTCATTTTTCAAACATTTTTGATTGAGTACYTGAAGAGAAATGATCAAGTCACTATAAACTTTCTTCATACAGTTCTAAAGGATTTTTCAATAAAAGCACTACAAAAAAAAAAGGTTTGGGATATCAATGAAATTCTTTATTCCTGTGACAGTACATTCGATGCCATTACCAATTGGTCACTACGAGGACGCTTGCAGAAGTCCAGACGCTGAACCCACTTTTCGAAGGTTTTCAAGTATAGATCGGTCAATACTGCTGCAATTTCACTTTCGATTTTCGTACGAATTTCATCAATCGTCACTGGCTTGTTGGCATAGACCAAAGACTTGACGTAACCTCACCTCAATAGTCTAACTGCGTCAAATCGCATGACCGAGGCGGCCAATTGACTGTACCATTTCGTGASATAGCACGTGMATCAAACTTAGTGATTGTGACATTCGCTGTGTGGCTTGTGGCGTCGTTCTATTGAAACCACATACAAGTCCKTAGCATCCGATTCGGGTCAAAAATATTCAGTTATCAATGAGCGATAGCGATTCCCACTCACAGTAACTAGCCGGTCTTGATCATCACGGAAGAAGTACGGCCAAATRACGCCATCCGTCCAYAAACCTCACCAARCCGTAATTTTTTCGGKATGCACAGGCACTTCTTTGCCCCACTGGCATGAGAACATTTTGTACTATGCCTATGGATTCAAATTTTTCCACTAGACCCTCAATTGTTGGTGTGACGGAACGATTATGACGACCATAAATTGTACGTAGCGGGAAAAAATATGGCGTCATTTGCTGTCCCTATCGATCTACTTTTGTAGCGTCCCTATTGAAAACCTCGTTATATCAAATTATTTAAAATTTATTTAACAGAACAACAAAAATTAGAATGCAATAACTTCAAATAACTATTTTTTTACTAAGTTAGATTTTTAGTAAGCAATAGGTAGCGACTACCAGGTACCTACTGTATATACCATAAACTCATAAACCGAAATATATGTACATATATACGCATGCATATGCATATTTCTACGTAAATATTTATGAATAAATGAAGGTTCGCATATAAATCGCTTGCAATTGTCACCCGACTGCAGCGGGCGCTCCCAGCGGAGCGTTGGAAAAATATTAAAATTTCACAGGAACCCATGGCATGCCAGCCGCTCAATTTGTAGCTTTATTGCGCTAGCAGCGGTCAATTGGTCGTTTTAAGTTCTACCAAAATGGCGATTTTTCGAACACATTTCTGTCTAGCTATCTCTTTATCTAGCTGTATCTCTAGCGGCTAAGCTTATTTGTTTGACTAAGTTAATATGTATTTGCTTATTTGCGTTTGCTATTGTTTGCTGTTGGGCCAGCGCCACTCAATATTTGTTTATATGTCGATAATAGGGGATTTTTTACTTCTCTATATACATATATGTATGTATTCAGTACTTTTAATGTAGCCACTATTTTTACTAGCACAACTTAATAGTTACTGTTTGTAGCACTTTTCAGCTTTATCATATGTATATTGAGATATCTTGTTTGAAACTTACCATCCTTTGGTGGACTCGAACAGGGCGGCGCATAGCTGCCTAGATGATAGCCGGAATATGAGTTTTGATGCATAGGCGGGAATGGGTAACCTAAGCCGCTGCGTGGACTTGGAAATCCAGAATCTTGTCCACCTTGTGGTCCGAAATGTTGATAACCACCGCGTATGCCGCCGTAACTGTAAAATGGAAATATAAAATTTAGAAACGTTTTGAAATTTTTTAAACATTTATTTTAAGTTGTATAACATTTGAACTATCTAAACTATGATATTATAGGTTATTTTATTTAAAGATCGTGCCTGAATACAGAAATATTAATTTTTAACATTTTTTTGCAAAGTAGAAATCTTAAAACAAATTATATTTGGTTTAAAATTGTTTTTCAAAGTTGTAAGTGTGTCGATCTTATCAAAAATAATGTTTGTAGAGAAAACTCCAATTGCGTCTTGTATTTATCTCTGTTCCCAGAAATTAAATTTAAAGCAGTCAAAAATATATTTTTCGACTATATTATACACCTCTTAAAAAAATATATATTTTTTTTGATCAATTCATAAAAGTTATGAGAATACAATTCCAAAATAAATCGACCATATTTTTTGGAGAAAAGTATTGATAAGTCTTCAAGTGTTCTTTGAAAGAAATAACGCTCGCGCCTGTAAGGATTTACATCAGCTTTTCATAGCGTCTTCAGATTATAAAACAAATTATAAGAATAAGAATGAAAAATAATTAATTTAATTAAATAAAATAAAAAAAACTCATTTTAACGATTGGAGACTACAAACTTATCTACCTCTTGAGACCTTTACTGCCGATGAAATAAATTCCCAATGATTTCACAAACAAATGAGTTACATCAGCATTGCAAAGTCTATTTAAAAGATATATATATATCGTTATGATAATTCCGACGGCAACTCGAAATAGAGAAACCTTTTTTAGAACCCTAATATTTTTAGAAGGTTAAGATAAAATACTTTGTAAAAACTCAGTTGGTTTTGATTTTACTATGTAATTTTGAAAAAAATATATTTGTATCATTAAAAAATTTTCAAAACAAAAATATCCGAAATCATACATTGTGAAAAAAAGTACACGGTAATTTGTAAATAAAACGCAGGAAAAAAAAAACAATTCTTCTGCAGTGGTCAGTAGGGTAATCCGGAATGTTTTTTAAAGATTTTTTTTCATAAAAATTTTTATTCTTCAATAGAACTTTTCTCACATATCATGAAGTACTACATCGTGGAATGTATAAACAATTTTTTTCGGAATTTTTTTATGACATATGTCGGAGAAATGGTTGGGTGAATGAGATACGTATTTTTACTGGCGGACACGATTTCTCATGTTTGGATTATCTGAAACACAAAAGCCCAATTTATTATTAAAAACTACATGAATTGTTATCGTCCCTACTAGAATCATGAAGAAATGTTGATAAATAAAAAACTAATTAATTAGTTAATTTTTTTTTAATTTTTCCCAATGGTTTTTTTACATACATTTTGTCTTAACATTGTCACTAAATTATAAAAAATTATGAATCTAGTAGGGACCATAGCCTGGCGTTTTGTGAACATTTAAAAAAAAAAATAACCAAATCAGTTGAGTAGTTCAACCGGAATAATGTCCGCCAGTTTAAAAAAAAAAGTGCTCCGAACGTCCAGCGATATTATTATTTTTGGGCCTTTTTCGAAACCTTCCAATGGTTGCTACATTATTTCTAAGGGTATAAGCGAACAGAAACTGCAAAAAAAAAAATTTAAAATTTAAAAACAAAATTACTGACTCCATAAATATATATTTTTTAATCCCCAACGTAATGTAATACACTTGTGCCAACGATTTTCTAGTCCCAGAAACACTTTTCATAAGCCTAAGGGATGGCCTTCAGCTCCTTCAGGGAATGTTGTTTTATCTCTTCGATCGTCTGAAAACGGGTTCCACGAAGCACAACAATGAGCATCACTTTGATTTTTGAGCGGCTATTGCGTGGTTTTTTTCTTTCGGCTCGTTTCTTCCCCTCCATTCCGACGATTGTAGACTTATTTGCATGTCAAACTCATAAACCCATATCTGAACGGCAGTTATAAGGCCCTTCACGAATGTAGGATCGGAATTCGCAAACTAAGCATGTCCTAAAAAACTTGATTACGGTACTGCTTTTGAAAAAAATTCAACTTTATCCATCCAAATCATTTGAAAAAAGTCTTGAAGGGCTTTCTTGACATCTATCTACCACTTGTCTGACGATTTTCAAACCTCATATCCTTCACTTTTTTAATATTTTCATCAGATGACGAGGTTGAAGATCGTCCAGAGCGAGGCAACGATAGCGAAATAAAGATCTCTTGACCGTCTTTGAAAGCTTTGTACCACTCGTAGGCTTGCGTTTTTGATAAAACTGAATCACCGTAAACTTTTTACAACATTTGCAATGATTCCGCACACGATTTTTGGTTAGAAGTACAAAATTTGAAACAAATTCTTTGTTCGATATTTTTAGCCATTGTAAAAGTCGCAACACACTACAGAGGAGTACCAACTAAAGCAGCTGCTGTCAACAAACTGGTTGGCAGATCCTGCTCATATTTGGTATAGAAATTAAAGACAGTCCTACCAACTTAGCAATTACATTTTTTGAAATATGATTTACACAGGGAATTTAATTACAATCTCCGGGTGCTTTTTTGTCAAAATGTATATAAAAACTGTTGAACACTATTTTAAGTTCTTACTACGATTCAAATTTTTATTAAAAATTTTGCGCATTTAAATTTTAATAATTTGGTGCCAAATACAAAATGTCGACTGCTTTTCTTACTCAACTTGTTCTAAGGCGTGGCGACACGGCAGTAAAGAATTCAGCTGTCAACAAAGCGAAAATTACATGTAAAGTTATACAAACGCGAATCAAAGCAAACATTTTTTAAAAATATAACTGTGCGCGTCAACAGTTTGTTTGCTGCTTCAATCGGAATATAAACTGAAATACGTATGTATGTATGATACTTACATATATAATACTATTTTATGTGCTAGGGAGTATGCTTTTTTCGTACTTTTATCGAATTGTCATACCACCGAAAGCTTTGAATAACATTTATATACTAGTAAAAAATAATAAATTCTGAGAAGTAGAAATATTCGGAACTTCTGGCAATTTGCATGACAAGTACACCAAGGATAATCGGTAATCCTTGGGGTACATTTACATTGTTGTCATGCAAATGGCGACTGCCGAAGTTCTTAACTGTCTAAAAACGTTTAGTGGGTACTTTAGAAAAAAAAAAACAAAAAAAAAATTAAAAAAATAAAAAAATAGACACAATTAATTTTGTAAAAATTACCAAAAACATATAATAAATAAACAAAAAAATTAATTTCCGCTGCGCACATGTTAGCAGGGTACAAATAAAGAAGTTTTCGTTGCCAAAACTTGATGTTGAGCTGTCACTTTGTAAGGAAGCTACATGCTTTAGTAGTCTGATCTTAACTTCGGAGTTTGTACGTTTGCATTGCGTAATAATTCGTGCCAAACCTGGTCAAATAAAAAAGTTTTCTTTACAAGGCCATACAGTTGATCTTTCAGTTTATATGGCAGTCATATGCTATAGTAGCTCGATCTGGAAAATTTCTACAGATATCTCAGCTTCAGTTTAGAAAACAATTTGTGTCAAGTTTCGTGAATATATCTTGGCAAATTAAAAAGTTTTTCCTAAAAGGTTTTAAGTTTGAACGTTCAGTTTGTATGGCAGCTATACGTTATAGTAGTACAATCTAGAAAATTTCTGCACATATTATTACTTTGGCTTAGGCAATTACGCATGCCAAATTTCATGAAAATATCTTGTCAAATAAAAAAGTTTTTCATACAAAATTTTAGTTTTGATCGACTGGTTTGTATGGCAGCTATATGTTATAATGATCCTATATCTGCAGTTACGATAAATAAGCGGCTACTTGGTAAGAAGAGAATGCGTGCAAAATTTCAGAACGATATCTCAATATCTGAAGGACTAGATCGCGTATACTGACAGACCAGCTTTCACGACAGCCGAGCCGCGAAGCAATTGAAAAAAAAAAATATTTCCAATCGAATATATAAACTTATAAGAAAGAATGAATTTTCAATAAGAATTATATTTATTTGCTTTTCGCTGATTTTAAAATTGTAAACAATAAACTGTTTTATAGTAAACTACACAAACTTTTGTTTCGTCGTGTCATTTGAATATTGAACATTTCGTATAAGCAACATTTACATGTGTATATAAATATATATAGAAATATGAAAATGTATACAAAAAGTTGTACATTTTTACTTATAAATTCATGCATAATTTAGCAAGCAACTGAAAAACTTTATTATGACTTCATCAAGCTGCTTCTAAGCGACATTTTCACAAGCCTGCACGCTTGATTGATTGTCTACCAACAAAAGTTAGACTGTGATTGTAGCGAGAAATCAATGCGTTTAAAACATAAAACAAACTTTTGTATAGTCGCAAAGGTTTCACATATTTACTTTTATGTCCTTTCCAACTTGTCAACTTTCGACTTCGCATTTGCTACTTAGTCCGTTTATGAATTAGTAAATATTGTGCTAACACCTCGCATACATAAAACAATTGTGGGCGTGCCGAAAAAAAAACTTCGCTTTACAAATAACAGGGTGCCGCAGCTAGAAACGCTTACACGAAAACGTGAAACACTTGAGTTGACCACAAGAAATTCTCAGCACCATTTGGCGCCCGCGCCGCAGACAAACAGATTGAGCACAGGTGGCGTTTGTTGCTGTGGTTTTCGGTTGTGTACGCCTTGCGAGGCATGCAAATGGCGTATATGTTGTAAATAAAAAATATGTGAATGTAAATATTCAAAAGAAAAATAAAAATAAAAAATAAAAATGGCCGCTAAGCAGTTGGAAAAATAAATGTTGAAATCGAAAACAATAAAACGGCGCTGAGTTTGAAAAGAAACAGCCAACAGCAGCAATGAGCGGCAAAACTTCAAGTCGCACACATGGCAGTCGAAACTATAAAACTTGAGTGGCATATATAGATACATATATGTACATATGTATTAATACATTTTTATATACACAAATTTTCATACGTATATATAAATATTATATACATACATATGTGTATACATTTATATATATGGA